AGAGATATGAGAGGGAGAGGAGAGAGAGGGAGAGAAAAAAGAGGAAAAGAGAGAGAGGGAAAGAGAGAAAGAGAGGGAGAAGGAGAGATAGGAAAGGGAGAAAGAGGGAAAGGGGGAGATGGGAGAGGGAGAGGAGAGAGTGGGAGAGAGCGGCCCCTCAAGGTGAAACACAGCACTGCAAGAGCACTGACTGCTTAGACCAAAGGAGCACCAGAAACTTAAGTGCCCAAGGCCACATCCATCAGACCCCCACTGGCTCAAAGAAGAGGCAGCTGAAGGGGAGGGCCTACAGTGACAACTGAGGCCATGGCCTTTCCTCCTCTTCTCTCCTCATGGCTCTAAGGAGACCACTAATTGGTCCCAGGTATCCTAAGGTTTTGCCCAGTGATGCGGATGTTGCAACCTGATATTCTGATCTGAAAGAGAAACGAATGGGCCTTTCCTCACCATTCCACCCATCAACCTCTAACCAGTATAGCCTAGTAGCCTCCGGTAACCATTCGGCCTCTAAAGACAGGCTTCTCTAAGTCTAATGTGCTTGGCTCAGACCCCGCATTCACGCTTAAACCCAAGCTGCTGGTCTGCCCCGGGCCCCCTTAGAGAGCACCTTTCTGAACGGAAGGATCGCCACCGTGGGAAGCAGCGAGTGAGGAGCCACATGTGACCCCAACAGTGCCTAATTCAACCAGAAGTTCAAGTAGGTGCTCAGCCACCAGCATACTTGTTGATCCACTTACTGGTAAAACTGAAGTTCTAACACAGGCCCTGCAGTGCCAAGAGGCATCGGAGAACTTGATTCCAACCAGAGATCTGGGCTCCCCCGAGAGGGAGAAATTCCAAACAGCCTCACACTTTCCAGAGGAGCTCTGGGATCTATCTCAGTTTCCAAAAGACTTGTTGGAAACACTCCTGACACCTGGGCCCACACACTCGGGGGACAAACGGAGGATGGGGGCAAGGAGAGGCCCAGCCCGGCCTACTCACGAGTGCTACCTAGTGGCCCGCCCAAACCAACTTGTGGGCACTGGGCCATGGCTACATTCTGGAAAAATAAATACCACAGGTCAGGATGTTTCCACATAATTTGACGGACTTGTTCACAAGGCCTGGAGACATGGGGTCTTTTCTTTTCTTTTTTCTTTTTTTTTTTTTTTTTTTTTTTGCATGTTGCACTAGAATGAGAAGGAGATCCTCATGCTTGGGAAATGTTCTGTGTTTATTACAATTTCATTCAACCCATACAAACACCAGAATATGAAATTGAACAGACTAGAGATAAGCTATAAGCAAGTATCATATTTAAGTCAGATGAGTAAATATTGCGTGACACTCTGGTTACTGATAACGATCCTTTGAGTATGGCCAGAAGTGGACCCTGAGCACAGAGCCAGGAGTAAGCCCTGAGTACTGCTGAGTGTGGCCCTAACCTCTCTGCTCCTTCAAATGTCAAATAAACTGGGTTCTATTTCACCTGGGTTCTATTTCACACACACACACACACACACACACACACACACACACACACAAACTATAGTACCTATAGTTGCTGATTGGATGGAGAAAAGTGACTTGATGGTAAAAAAAATGGTATTTTTTTTCTTTTTAAAGTGGTATCTGTTTTATCAGAAAATCTTTAATAGGCACTACAAAATTTCAACCTACAAAGACTATTTTCAAACCAAAGCATATATACCTGCCTGCTTTCAGTTCATTTTTGAGGCACAAGAGAAAAATATGATTACCTTAGATTTGACGGTCCAACACTTAAGCTTTTGATACTAATTTGTATTCTATTTTCAAATTAAAAAGTTTTCGAAGTCAGTCACATTAAATTTTTTTCTCTGTGTACCTAACACTTAATCAACTCCCAGTGCATCACGAAGCAGTCCAAGTTCTATTCATGATAGATTTATATTTCCGTTTCTATAGAATATGAAAACAAGAGAGCTGGGATTGAAGGAAGTAATGAAAAGCATTCACTTTATCATCTGATTTACAAGACTGTGTTCAAGCTTTGCTTTTGCAATAAAACATATAGCTCCCAGAGGAACTAATGAGAAGGTTTTGAATACATTAAGTTTGGGTATAAATTGTCCTCAAGAAGATTATCAAGGACCAATCAAATACAATAGGAACAGAGATGCAAGAGTGGGGAGACCGCTGAGAGAGATGCTTAAGGAACATCCAATGAAGTTCCACAAATATAAGTACAATGAACAACCCTGATGCTCATGTAAACCAGATGAACCATCTGACAGCATAGTTGGCACTGTGAGACCTTCCTACTCTAGGGAGTACCAAGGAACACCGGGACCAAATCCCAACTCTACTGGAGTTTACAAGTTAGTTTTAAAAGGACAAGACTGGGGGCTAGAGATAATACAGCAGGGAGGGCACCTGATCGATCCCCTGCATCATGGATAGTCCCTGAAGACTTGTCCTCAGGAGTAATCCCTGAGCACAGAGCCAGGGGCAAGTCCTGAGCACTCTCAGGTTCTGAAAGGTTTTTGAAAAAATATTTTGAATATGAAAGGGAAATCAGGGGAAGAAATCTTCAGCTGCTTCACTTGGACAACTGACGGGTGTCTGTGAGACAACAGCCAAAACATTAATAATGTCCCCTTCAAATCACATGCTACAACACACACGGAGGTTAACCACCACAAACACAGGAACCCCTGGTCACAACTGCAACCCTAATGCATGTGCTGTGGGGACAGGACTCCAGATACATGAATAGGGAAAGTTGGATCTCCAATGAGGCAACCGGTTAGCATGTGGTATTTATACAGAAGTACGTGCAAAGAAAAGGGAGTAGGAAAAATGGTGCAGGCGTAGGGTGATGAACATTCTCTGGCTCGGGTGGCTCTGGTCTCAAGCCAAGTCAGATGTCCCCGGAATTTCCACTTACTCAGCAGTGAGATGTGACTGTCACTATCCCCCCAACAGGGCTGTTTTGAGGTTCACTATGAAGCAGTCAGCTTCACACGAATGACACTGAACCCGCCCCCTCCCCCAATCTCCCTTCCCTCACTGAGGTGGGAGTTGAGGTGACAGGGTCACACATATGTGACACATTTCGGTCATGCTCTTCACACATCAGGAGATACCCAAAAGTTTTTATTTAAAAAAAACCACAAGCCTTAGGACTGGGGCAAAAATACAGTGGGTAGGGTACTTGCCTTGAACAGACCCAGTCAGGTTCTATCCCCAGCATCCCATATGGTCCCGCAAGCCCACCAGGAGTGATCCCTGAGAGGGCTGCAGAAGAACTGGGTCCTGGAGAAGAGCAAAGGAATGCCAAAAAGGGGACTGTTTTTTTAAAAAAAAAATAAATAAATGAGAACTGGGAGAGGTGGAAGATGGTGGCATCAGGGTGGGAAAAAGGAAAGGAAAGGAAGGAAGGAAGGAAGGAAGGAAGGAAGGAAGGAAGGAAGGAGGGAGGGAGGGAGGGAGGGAGGAAGGAAGGAAGGAAAGAAAGGAAGGAAGATTGTCAGCAGCTGTGCCCACATCCCACAATCTCCTCCCTGTAAGCTCACCCATTGGCCTAGCTCTACAGGCTCATGATTAAATCTCGGAAGAGATCAACAAGCTGCAAATGTTCACAGGTACATCAGCTTCACAGTTGAAAACTCGGGGGCATCCTCAAGAGGCCAAGTCCCCACCCTGTCAAAATCCTGGCCGTCACATCCACAACCCACAGCTGCTGCTACGCCAAAAGCCGGAAGCCACTGCCTTGCCACTAAGCTCTGCAGAGATGCTGAACTGCTAAAAATTCCAGGTACACTGGTCATCAGGCTGAGAGCTCTGGGGTCTTCTTGGAGTGGGGGGCAGGAAGCTTCCCCTACCCCTCTGCTTCTGAACACCCTGGCAGCCACGCCCACATCCCACAAAGACCACCATCTAAACTCATAGCCCAGTTAAATATTCTGCATTTTTCAAACCTCCACATTCTACAATACTGACATCCCAGTAGAACACACCAGATTAGATGGGAAAGTAACATAGAAACCCACTAAACTCTAAAAACAAAAGTATAACACAGAAAAAAAAAGTATAGCACAGAAGGTTCAACTAACAACAATAGCTCTCAGCAAACCCTCAGACAAGGATTTAATGACCCATGGTGAGATACAATAATTTTCACAATTTTTTTACTAAAGTATTTTTTTTAACTCCATTAGCCACTTTGTTGTAACAAGCCATATAAAATAAATTATTTTGTGCCTACCAAGGGGGCAGGCTTGGGAAAATGGAGACAATGGTGGAGGGAAGGTCACACTGGTGATGGGGTTGGCGTTGGGATATCGAATGCCTATAACAAGTGTATCATGAACAGCTCTGTAAACCAAGGGTGTTCAGATAAAAGCAGGTTGGGAGGAAAAGAGGCAGCTACTGGGTTTTCAGGTCTTTGGTAGAGGTGGGTCAAGGGCACAAAGGTTAGGGCGGCCTGGTGACCCACCGCTGAGGGCTATCGTGCACATGCTGGGTTAGGGCTGGCAGGCTCAGTCATTCCAGAAAGGTCCTGGCAAGCCCACTGGAAGCACAGTGCTGAAAGCAGCTTACAACCATGCACCCCTTCCCTCCCCTTCACCCCTGGTCACCCCCAGGCCACACTCTGGAGGGGGTGTGGGGGTGGGATGTCCCTCCAGCTGGGGGAGCAGATCCTGCAGAGCCTTTTCTTCTCCTTCAGACGCTGGGGATCCGTGACCTTCTTCTTGGCCTTTGAGTCCAGCTCGAGCTGGAAACCTAGAAGGCCTCTCAACGTTTGTTCAACAAAATCCCAAAAGCAAATAATAAGATCATCAGCCAAGGGGGGCAAGGGGGGCAGTAAGAGCCAGAGGACACTAAGTAAACAACACAGAGACACGGCAGGAGCACTGGGCTCAACCCAGAGTCCAGTCAAGGCCAGTCAGGTTCAGCAGCCGCCTCCATCTCTGAACCCGCCCTGGGGAACACACACCGATTCCCTAAGTGCTGGGGCCCATCCCAAGCTTTACTAGACTCCGAACGAGTCAGAGCTGAAAACTCCGCTTGGTGCTTTTCTGAAAGGAGCTGCAGTAGGATCTGCCCATGAATGTTTACTGCAACCATAGCTGCGTCTACACGACACTGGGAGAAAATCAGAGCCAAAGAGCAATTCCAAAGGCTTTTTCCAGAAAAGAACTCTTGGGAACAGGAACCACATAAGGGCCAGTCGCGAGGCTTCTCATGGTTTCAGGAATCGAAAAGGGTCTCTCATATAGTTGGGACTAAAGGCAAAACTCCAGCAAGGTAACAAAGAGGAGGCAAAGGGAGAGGGAGGAGGAGGAGGAGGAGGAGGTAGTGGAGGAGAGAGGGAGGAGGAAGAGGAGAAAGAGAAGGAAGAAAAGGAGGAGGAAGAGGAGGAGGAGGAAGAGAAGGAGGAGGAGGGAGAAGGAAGAGGAGAAAGGGGAAGAAAGGGAAGAGGAGGAAGTGGAGAAGGAGGAAGAGGAGGAGGAAGAGGAGAGAGGAAGAGGAGAGAGGAAGAGGAAGAAAGGGGAGAAGGAAGAGGAGGAGGAAGAAGAGAAGGAGGAGACGGAGGAGGGAGGTGGAAAGGAGGAGGAGGGCGTAAGAGGGGAAAGAGGAGGGGAGGGGGAGGGCCACAGCTCTGCCTGCCATCTGGCCTTGCATCAGGAACTAAAGCGCAGCGGGAGCTGGGGTCGCGCTCCAGCCCATACTCACGAATCCGTCTTCTGTGATAACGGGAGGCTCTGAAACGAGACAAGACACTGCATCAGCTCGCTGCGTCGGCGCGCCGGGGCTACAAGCACTCAGGGCCGCGCCCGGGCACGTGGGCGGCCTTTGAGGCTGGGAGTCGCGGCGGAGGTCGGGGTCGGGGGAAGGAGGCCTGATTCCCGCGACCCCCGGAAGGGCCCCCGCGGCGCACGTACCCGCCGTGAGCCGCCTCTCGGGCATCGCCGCCGCGCGGCTGCTCAGGGCCCCGGGGCGGGCGCTGAGGCCCTCGGGCCCGCGAGTGGCCGGCTGGGCGCGCTGGCCTGCGTTGCTAGGGAGCGCACAATGCGGGCACCGGAGGGCACGGGGGCGGGGGCGTGCGTGGACCCGGAGGGAGGGGAGCGGGGAGGAGGGACGGAGCGGGAGGAGGGGGATGGAGGAGGGAGAAGGGGAAAAAGAGGAGGAAGAAGGAGGAGAGGGGAGGGGAGGAGGAGGAAGAGAAGGAAGAGGGGGAGGACAGCGAGGGAAAGGAGCAGGAGAAGGCTCCCAGCCCACGGGTCTCCACGGTTGCTGAGTGGATCAAACACCTTGCATGCGCCTCCCTGCCGCCCCCTCCCCCTTCCATCCTGGAGTGAGCCTCTCCCACTTGTTTTGCAGTAATCTGTTAGACTAGATGGCTAAGCTTTTTTTTTTTTTTTTTTTAGTGAAACACCATGAGGTACAGATTTACAAATTTTTGTGCTTCGGTTTCGATTATACAATGATGAAATACCCTCCCTCCACCAGTGCCCATTTTCCACCACCACGGATCCCAGTATCCCTCCCACACCCATCCCCCCCCCCCCCCATCCCACCCTGCCTCTGTGGCAGGGCATTCCTTTTCGTTCTCTCTCTCCTTTTGGGTGTTGTGGTCTGCAAAAGAGGCAGTGAGTGGCAATCATGTTCAGTCCATAGTCTGCTTTCAACATGCATCTCCCCTCCAAACACCCTTTATTTGGTGCTTCCGTCTCTATCTGAGCTGCCCTTTACCCTAGAAATTGAGCTCCCATTTGACCCAGCAATACCACTCCTGGGAATATATCCCAGAGAGGCAAAAATGTATAGTCGAAGTGACATCTGCATTTATTTGTTCATTGCAGCACTCTTTACAATAGCCAGAATCTGGAAGAAACCTGAGTGCCCGAGAACAGATGACTGGTTAAAGAAACTTTGGTACATCTACACAATGGAGTACTATGTAGCTGTTAGAAGAGATGAAGTCAAGAAATTTACATACAAGTGGTACTACATGGAAAGTATCATGTTACGCGAAATGACTCAGAAAGAAAGGGAATGACATAAAAAGATTGCATTCATCTGGGGAACATAAAGTAAGTAAAATAGGAGATTAATAGCCAAGAATAGACGAGATCAGTACCAGAAGGATTACTCCATAGCTTAGAGGCGGGAAATCTCCCTAGGAGACCGCGCAGATGGGCTGGGATGCGGAGGACTTGTGTCTGGGTGTGTTTTGGAAGCGTTAAGATGGACACGAGCAGGTGGAACGTGAGAGGGGAAGGGTAGAGGAAGCGCTGGACAGTCGGTAACCGTGGAAAGGGCGCTGGCCTTGCTCCAGGCACCCCAGAAGTGATCCCTGAGCACAGAGCCAGGAGAGAGCCCTGAACACAAATGAAACATTAAAAACAGTATTTCTGAGGAGAAGGTCTCCACTTTCAGAAATATTCTGAGTCAACCGATAATCCAACTTTCAGCCTGGACATCTTGGTCCCCAGCTGGCACCTCTGCTTGAGCCGGAGAACCCTAATCCATCAGCTTTGCTGTTCTCAGACATAGATGCTTCTCCCCAGTGACTCCAAGCGGAAAAGTCCACAAGGAAATCCTCCTCCTCCTCCTCCACCCTCTCCTCCCCCACGGCTTCCTTGAGAACCCCCCATTCCTAGGCTCTCCCTCCAGTCACCTGGTCGCTGAGCCAGAAACCCAGACCAGTCAGCTGGCCAAACCAGGCCAGTTCCACCAGATGTGCTTGCAGAGGCGTGTGCCCTTGCAGCCCACTGGCCACAGCCGCTCCCCTGTGAACCCGCGACTTCAGAGCTGCCAGCTGGTTCCCCTTCCGATCTTTGCTTCTGGTGGAACACCTCCAACCTCCCTTCTCTCTGCTGAAGCAGAGTGATTCTCCATAAGGCCTCTCTGGCTACCTGAATCCTTTCACATGTTTCACTCGAACCACGTGGGGCCCACTGAGCACTAACACACGTGGGACAGAAGGCAGGTGACTGTGTTGCAAGAGTCCAGAACATGTCTTGGTAGATTCTCTTCTTTGGGAGTTAGGGGGACGGTTTGGACCACGTGGGTTGTGCTGTCGGGGCTTACTCCCGGATCTGTGCTCGGGCCACGCTTGGTGGGGCTCTGGGTGCCATATGCAGTGTTGGGGGTTATTCAACCCCAGGGTCAGGAAAGGCGAGGAGGGTCCCTGGCTTTCAGTAGTGGGATGTGACACCTCAGAGGGCTTGGAGGAAGCGGCTGGAGGACTCACCTTTGTGGGAAGCACTCACTCTGGATGCCCTCCAAGGGAGTGGGACATGGCCAGAACTGGTGCTGGCACAGGCCTCAGACCAGAGGGCAGAAGGGGCAGATCTGACTTCCATTCTGCATATATTAGTGTTTGGAGACACCCCCTGGGCATCACACAGTCCCAGGGAACTGAATCTGGCTCTCCCTCATGCAAAGCCAGTGCATGGCCCATTGACTATCTCTCTGGCTTCTTCTTCACTTTCTTTTGTGGTGCTGGGATCAAATCAAGGTCTCCTGCATGTGGGGCCTCCACTTTACCAATGAGCCACAGCCCTGCCCCTCTGCAGGGAGCACTTCCTTAATTGTTGGATGTGAGAACAAAGCAGCAAAGCCGGTGGAGAATAACTTCGAGAATGGTCGATTTTCTTCATCATCGATGTGGAGCGCTCTCAGTAGAACAGAGAGGACCTGTGGATATTTATTGGCCAACCAAAGGGAGATTCTAAGGGGAGATTCTAAGCCCTTGATTCCCAAATCTGGAATTGAATGAAGAGAGAAGAGAGTCTCTCTCTCTCTCGCTCGCTCGCTCTATCTCTCTATCTCTCTCCTGATACTCTCTTTCATTCTTCACTGATAGTGGGGGATCATCTTCATCTCCTTGGTCCAAACTCCTATCCTGAAACCCTACTCGTATTAACTCCATCTCTTCCCCTCATCCCCCCCCCACAGGCTGTCAATTTCCAGGAGTTGTGCCCTTAGTTGACCCCCCCTTCCAGCACCCACCACCGTGTGCCCACCCATCACTGCATACTTGTGGAAACATCCTTTCTCCATGGCGTGGGGCCCTGCACACAGCAGACGGGATTGGTTAATCCCTGGTATTAGTAGTCACAATAATTTAGGAAATGGATTGAGGAGGTGAGATCATAGCCCAGAGACAAACAGCTTGAAAGTGTTGAGCCCTAAATTGATCCAGATCTGTCCCATCCCGAATCTCAGCTCTTTAGCTACCATGATATACGGCCTCTCTCTTTCTAAAAATAATCTCGTGCAAATTTAAAATAACACAAAACAGTAAGTTATCCACCACCACCCCTCATGGTAGGTTATAAACTATTCTCATGATTTGAAGACAGGGGTGAGTAACGGTTTTATTAAAGATGCAATCCAGCTATAAAAATTAACTATATGAGGTATATCATTCCATAGTTTTCAGTCTGTTCAGAATTGTGCAACCATCACCACAATTAATTTTAGAACATTGTCATCACATCAAAGAAAACCCAGACTATAAAAAAATTTAGTTAACAGTGATTTATAAAGTTATTGGTAGTTGAGTTATTATTGGCATACAAAACCAACCACACCCCCACCACCAGTGTCTCCCTTCTTCCACCAGTGTCCCATGCTCCCTCCAATACCCTTGCCCCCCAAGATCTCCCCCCACATGTACCACCTGCCCCCTTGACAGGCTCATTTCAAAGGTTGGTGATTTGTATTTTAGGTCTTGTGATTTCATTGTTGTTGAGTCTGTGCTCACTAGCCCAGTCTCCCACATCACGGGTAGGCCTGCAAAGCCCAGGCCCTTCAAGGACCATCTCCTCCTTACTCTCTTCCTCGCCCTCCACAATGCTTAGCAACCACCTTCCGTCTCTAGACGGCCTGAATGTTTCACGTGAATGTAAATCACCGTGCAGTGGTCTTTTGTGACCAGTTTCTTTCACTTCATAAAATATTTCCAAGGGATTAAAGAGATGCTTTAATGGGGTGAGTGCATGCTTTGCATGCCGGAAGCCTAGGTTTTATCCCTGGCACCACTTGGTCCCCCTGAGCACTGCCAAAAGCACTGCCACTCTATCTGTACTTGGAGGCAGCAGTAGCCCCCAAGTACCACCAGATGTGACCAAATTTTTTTTTAAGATTCACTTGTGTCTTAACAAGTCAATATACCCGATTGCTTTTATTGCTGAATAACATTCCACTTGTGAAAGACTAATCGTAAAATAATATACTTGTGGTGCAGATAGAAAACATCTTGTCCACCCATCTTGTGATAGGCATTTGGCTTATTTCCTTTTTTTGAATATTACAAATACTGTTGCTAGGAACATTCATGAATGCCTTTAGTGTGGATATGTGTTTTCATTTGTCTTGATGTACACCAATAGATAAAGGTATGTAACCTTTATATACACCCTTGACATGGCTCAAAGGGCGAACTTGTGTTTCCTCAGCAGCCCAGTCTGGGTGATGCTCTGTCAGACCATTGTCCATGTTGGGTTGGCTGCACTCTACATCTCCACCAGCAGAGGACCATTTACCTTCCTGCATCGATACCAACATGAGCCATCTGACTTTTTCCATTCTGCTAGGAGTGCCATGGAGATGCTCTGAGGCTTCAGTCTGCCCTTTCCCATGAGCATATTTCACTTGAACATTTGTTTCAAGAGAACAATTTTATTTGTTCTGTTTCTGTGCCCCATAATGTACGTTTTCCACACAGGCCGTTCTATCAGTCTGTATGTTGTTTAAAGCCACAGCAATTCAAAACCAGCAGCTTACAGTGGAGCTCTGTGAATAAAGTTTACAAACCTTGCTTCTGGACATGTTAGCAATTCTGAGGGGTGTGTTGGGGTGATCTTTCTTAAATATAGACTCTGTAGTGCACCCTATAGTTCAACTTGCTGTGGGGGGTGCAGGGAGGATGATTCTGGATTGTATCTCAGTCTCCCTACCCAAGAGCTGGGCCTGGGATACAACCACATGCCAAAACAACACCGAACAGGACAGAAGGGATACCAAGTCAAGTGACTCCCAAAGAAGAGAAATTATCAGGTCTCACCTGGGCATCCAGCTGAGTGTCTCGCCATTCAACCTGCATTTTGAGGATGAATTTCCACGAGAGCCCAGAGAGACAGTGCAGGGGTCTCTGTAAAATGGTTCCCCAAGTTCCAGTGGCCGGGCAAGTGAGCAGGTAGACAGACACCTGCTTGACAAGAGCCAAGTGTCTGCGCTTGTACCTGTCAGGTTGTGACTGGGAGCCACTGCTCAGCCAGGTTTGGAGTCAGGGCCCATGGAAGCCCTACTATGGGTGGGGACCACGCCCAAGGCCCGCGTTTATTTCACCACTTTCTTGTTGGCTATTAAGGCGCTTGTCAGATGCTCAGACTCTGTGCCCCAAGGCTGCTGCCTCCTGATTCCTGACCGGCCAGAGGCAGTGACCTAGGTAGGAGGCCAGACCCAAGGGAAGGCCTTGCCAGCCCACCCAGAACTCTCATGACTTGGCTGGGAACTGGCCAGGGCCTCGCTCTTGCTCAGGACCAAACAGGAAAAGACAAAGATGCTTCCCCACTTGATTCCAAAGGCTGCTCCTGAGATTCTAGCCCCGGTCTAGGGGAAGAATCCCTAGTCTCCTCTCCCTTCTGCCCCTCCCCTTCCCCTCTGCCCCCTCCACTCCTTTTCTTCCTTCTCTTCTCCTTCCCGGGCTGGAACAATAGCACAGTGGGTAAGGTGTTTGCCTTGCACACAGCCAACATCGACCCGAGTTCGATTCCTCTGCCCCTCTCCCTCTCGGAGAGCCCAGCAAGCTACCCATGACGTATGCCAAACACAGTAACAATTGTCACAATGGAGATGTTACTGGGCCCGCTGGAGCAAATCCATGAACAGGAGGACAGTGACAGTGACTTCTCTTTCCCATCTCCCACTCCCCTATTCCTCTACTCTCTCTCCCTCACTCCTCCCCTCTCCTTCCCAACTCACTCCCCTCTGTCCTTCTACTCTCTTCCTCTCTTTTCTCCTCTTCCCCTCTCCCTTCCCCTTCCCTCTCCCCTCTTCCACTCTCCTCTCTCCTCCCTCCCTTTTCTTCCTTCCTTTCTCCTTCTCTCTCCCTTTCTCCCCTTCTCTCTGCTCTGCCCCCTTCTCCCCTCCCTTCCTCCTTCCCTCTCTCCATCCTGAGTCCCGGGGTAGCCCCAGACAGAAGCTGCCTCCTGGCCCAGACAGTCCACTTGGCCTGGACCTCTGCTGGTTCTCACTTGGTGACTTTCCCGCCTTCCCCCAAAGCTAAGCTACAGTCTGCTTCCCCGGAGAGGAATCTGCATGAGGAATCTGCAGGAGTAGGAGGGCTCAGTCTATCTGTGAGGGAGCCCCTTCTGGGCCCTGAGGTCAGTGCTGTGAAGGGGGGGGAAGCGCCCCACATGGGCCCCCCTCCCCGCACTCCTGTCTGTGAAATCACACGTCTTATCTATATTAAATAACGATGCCACACATCCGTATCACATTTAACTGGAAAATGGCATTTTTTTCCTATTTCCTAACTTAACAGTTCATAATTTTTTTGAAGGAGGAATATAATTACTTTAATACATTCATTAGGCAATTTCTTAACTTATCCAAGATAACTACCATCTGGACCTGCTGTTTTAGATTTATTCTAATTGTCAATATATTCCATTACATTACTTTGTTTTTTGCACAAACTGATGAGATAATTTCATCTTTAACCCTTACCTGGTTGAACTTATAAAAAGCTAATATTGCTAGAGGAGATTGTAATTTTTCCCTCCGCTTCATCTTCCTCCCCACCCCACACTGTAGCCCTGTTCTCCCGTTGTTCATCGATTTGCTCAAGCAGGCCCAGTTAAGTCTCCATTGTGAGACTTCTTGTTACTGTGTTTGGCATTTCGAATACGTCCCGGGGAGCTTGCCAGGCTCTGCCGTACAGGCTAGATACTCTCGGTAGCTTTCTGGGCTCTCCGAGAGGGGCGGAGGAATCAAACCTGGCTTGGCTGGGCCAGCCGCATGCAAGACAAACACCTTACTGCTGTGCTATCACTCCAGCCCTTCACCGAAAAAAATAAATAAATTGAGGGGCCAGAGAGAAATATACAAGAGTTAGAGAGTATCCTTGCTTGAAGCCAAGCCTGACTGGATCCCCAGCACCACAAAATGCCATCCCTCCCCTCCCTCAGAAGTGATCCCTGAGCACAGGGCCAGGGGTAAGCCCTGAGCACTGCTGATGTGACACCCCCACCCCACCCTCGCCGAAAGAAAAGAGAAAGTTTGAGTTCTCAGGGATATTATTATATTCAGGTTGGTCTCGTCTGTGGCTCCAGCACTGAAAACAAAACTGAGCTTGGCATTATAAAAGCTCGATTTAAAAAATAAGTGTATTATATGAATAATGGGGGAGGGGGGAGGGGCCACACCCAGAGAAGCTCAGGTGAGTAACTCCTGACTCTATAGCCAGGAGTCGTTCCTGGTGATGCTCGAGAACCATGTGAGATGCCGGGCATCCAAGCAGGCCAGCCATGCGCAAGGCAAATGCTGCCCTACCCACTGTGCTATCACTCCAATCCCTGCATAAACAATTTAACAAGGGAATAAAGATACCGTTGAAACTTGACAAATAAAGCAAGATGCTGCTACATGTGGCCAAAATCTGGAACACTGACTCTGCCGAATTCTGGCAAGGATTTGGAAACCCCTCGGCAAAGTTTGGTTTCTTGGAAATGTACGCATACCTACTTTCACCCCGTGATCTAGGAACCAAGCTCTCTGGTAATGCCCCGAGGAGGCTAGAGCACAGCCACAACAGACCCTGCACAGGAATGTTTACGGCAGCTTTGTTCTTTGTTCTTGACCAAAAGAATAAAGGCTGGGGGTTGGGCGTGATTTGGGCCACATCTGACATTACTCATGAATTCATATGTAATGCCGGGGATAACCTGGCTCAGCTACAAGGAAGGCAAGCACCCAAACCCCTGCACTGTCCCCTGTCCGCAGAGCAATTTGATGGCCAACATTTGCAAGCCGCTCAGATGCCCTGCAGGAAGCGGATGGACAAGGTGGTGCATCCAAACAGTTATTCTGTACTAAAAAGAACTGTGGCAGGCCGGTAATGTGGCTCAGGGGGTAGAGCCCTCGGCTTGCAGAGATGGGGCTTCAGCCCAAAGCACTGCCCAGAGGGGCCCCAGCATCATTGCTCACAGACCCATCTGGGAGGTGAGCTAATGAGCCCTGAAAAGAACAGGCCGAGGAACGGGAGAGATAGCAAAATGGTCAGGGGGTCTTGCACACAGCCCACCAGGGATTGAGTCCCAACACTCTGTATGCCACCCCCTATCCAGTCGACTCTGGGCAGACCCAGGAGTAAGCCCTGAGCCCTGCCAGGTGTGGCCCCAAACAAGCAAACAAACACAATAGCCAACTAGTCTTTAAGCTCCACACAAAACCAGTGGAAAAAGTAAAAATTATATATGATTTGGGGAAAATTCTATGCTATTACAATGAGTTATGAATTCAGCAATTCAATTTCGACTTGATTCACTTTGGTGCCTGGACTTGAACCCAGGGACTGACACATGCCACACTTAAGCCCCACCACTGAGCCCGAACCTCACTTCAACTGAGAGAACTAATGGCAGACACACGCAGACTTGTACTAAAATGAGATTACCCACAGCATCGTTTATTCTTGTTTGTTTGTTTGTTTTATTTTGAGGCCACACTCAGTTATGCAAAGGGCTCACTCCTGGCTGTGCTCAGAGGACCATATGGTATCACAGTTCTGGAGGGCAGGAAGATTTAATTTTTAATCAATTTTGAAAATTGATTTATCGCAGTGCTTTAATAAAATTCTGGAAAAAAAATTAAAAAGTAATATACTGAAAACTTCACTTATTTTAGTATTCTTAGCACCTCCTCACCCCATCAATGCTCAGGGTCACTCCCAGTTCTGTGCTCAGGTGACCGGTAGTGCTGGGGATGCAAACCCAGCCTCCTGCATGCAAGTGAGTGTTGCCATCTTTTGGCCTTTCTCTGCAGCCCCAGAAATGAGTTTAAGTCAAAAGAAATGTGTCTTGAGCATAAATTTGACTCTTTGGAATACCAACACACAACAATATAAACACTGGTGTCATCTTAGCATGTAAAAGTTTACCCTATTCGGAACACCAAATGAAAGGTGTTTGGAGGATCCTCCCAGGAGGGGAAATGCATGTTGAAAGTAGACTATGGACTGAACATGATTGCCACTCAATGCCTCTTTTGCAGACCACAACACCCAAAAGGAGAGAGAGAACAAAGGGGAATGCCCTGCCACAGAGGCAGGGTGGGAGGGGGGGTGGGGGGAAATGGGCACTGGTGGAGGGATGGGTATTTGATCATTGTATGACCGAAACTCAGGCACAAAGATTTGTAAATCTACAACTGTACCTCATGGTGCTTCACTAATAAAAAAAAAAAAAAGAATGACCTACATATCCTGTTTACCCAAGTTTTTGTGTACTTTGGATAAACATCTAAGAGGGGGAGTTATGATACAATAAATTCATTTTTTATATATTAAAAAAAAAGTTTACCCTATTCCTTACTTTCTATGTGAATGTATTCTGCAGCACTGTAGTACTGTCCTCCATTGTTCATCGAGTTGCTTGAGTGGGCACCAGTAATGTCTCCATTGTGAGACTTGTTGTTACTGTTTTTGGCATATCGAATACGTCACAGGTAGCTTGCCAGGCTCTACTGTGTGGGAGGGATACTCTCAGCTGAGAGGGATGGAGGAATCGAACCTGGGTCAGCCATGTGAAACGCCCTACCCGCTGTGCTATCACTCCACCCTGTGAATGTATTCTAGACCAGTTAATCATAAAGTGATCCATAGTGCAAATCCCCTTTTCCCTAAACACCTAATGCATGTATATGTATAAACATAATTTTGTGGAAGGGGGTGGTTCAGGCCATACCCAACATGCTCGGGGCTTGGTCCTGGTTCTGTGCTCAGGGGTCACTCCTAGTTTGGTTCTCAGGAGACAATGTGGGGTGCAGGAGATCAAACCCAGGTTTGCTGCAATCAAGGCAAGTGCCCAAATTACTGCACTATCTCTTGGCCCCCATATTTGAACTTTTGCTCCAATCACTCATTTTACTGTTCACAGTGCATGGGGATCAGACATTCAGCCAACTCAGCTAATATTTGCTGTCCATCAGACTCTCTGGGCATCCGGAGGCAGAGAGATGAGGAGAACTGGTCTACCCCCCAAGGAAATTGCTAATGGTAGAAGACCAGAAAGAGCAAGAAAGAGCAAAACAGCAGACTGAAAGAAGGTAAAAATATTCCATCCTGGGGGCCAGAGTGATAGAATAGTGAGTAGGGTGTTTGCCTTGCATGCTGCCGATCCGGGTTTAATTCCCGGTATCTCAGTGTCCTGTATTGTCCACCCATACACTGCCAGGAATAATTCCTTAGCCAGGAGTAACCCCTGAGCATTGCTGGGTGTGACAAAAAGAAAAGACAAAAAAAAAAGGAAAAGAAATATATTCCATCCTGTTGGAGAGATGAGAAAGAACTCATGGAAAGAAACTGGGGATTTGTGGATTTGGTGGGTTTAGCTGAAGGAGAAAGCGCAGGAGAAGCTTAGAAAACAGAAACCTCATCTGGCCAGAGCCAAGATGCAGGTTGGAATGTAGGTAGAGACGGGAGGAAGGAGTCTTAAGGGGATCCTAAATGCAACTGCATCTTAAATAGGTGCAACATAATTGAAGCCGCATTTTAGTGCAAATTAGCTGGCAAGGGACATTTAGGACAGATTCAGATGGAAGGAACACGTAGCAGCAGAGAGACCTGGAAGGAGGCATTTACTTGGAAAGACCTAACTCTGCATCACCTTCCTGGGAGGGGGGCGGGAGGGGTGCATAGCGGGAGCCCTACAAGCTGGTGCTCACCTCCGTTTTCCGCTGCTTCGCACGCCTCCCGGGCCTGCAGTGGGCGGCGGGCAGCCAGGAGGGCAGAGCCCTTGGGCGAGTAAACACAGATGGCCAAGGCACAGGCTGGGTGGCCACCCAGGGGCCGGTTCAAAGTCATCCGGAAAACAGAGCCCCTGCAGGCCAGCTCAAATATTTTAATTACCGACTCCAAGTAATAGCTATTACCACAGTTTATTCTATAGACATTCTAGAAATGAAGTCAGGGAACGTTTCCCCTATCTGGCAGTGTCACAGCACATCACCATCAAACATATCAAAGCTCCAAGCAGGTCGCGAGGCGGGTGCAGGGCGGACCGAGGCCACAAAGCTCCAAGCACGGGTCTCTGGTGCCCCCTGGCGGACGGTCTGGTGTCGGCGGGCGCTGCAGAGGGCAAAGCCCCGGGCAGATGCCCGCAGAGGGGCTGGGAATTAGGGGCATTTCCGTGCGCGGGCTCCCAAGGCGGGCTCAGGAGGCCCCGCGGGGACTCTTGGCGGCCCTGCAGTGCCAGAGATTAAGGGGTCACCCCAGCACTACTCTGGGGCCTCCCTGGCTACACTCAGCAACGCTCCGGGAAGCCTTGGAAATCAAACTGAATCCTGCATGCAACCACTGCGCTATGTCCCTGGCCTTTTCCTTAAAAAAAAAGAGACTTTTTTATAAAAATAATGGGGTTGGGGGAGGAGTGGTTACGCCACACTGGCAGTGCTCAGGGCTTGCTCCTGGCTCTGTGCTCAGGGATCACTCCCAGTGTGCTTGGAGGACCATGTGGAGTGCCAGAGATAGAACCTGGGGTCATGTGCATGGCAAATACCCTGTCCATTGTCTTTTCACTCCATCCAGACCTCTTCCTTTAAAAAAATTATATATGTATATAAAACTATTTTCTCTAGAAAAATAATATATATTTTTTCTCTAGAAAAATAATCTGTCACTGTCCTCCCGTTGTTCATCGATTTGCTCGAGCGGGCCCAGTAACGTCTCCATTGTGACAATTGTTACTGTGTTTGGCATATCGAACACACCACAGGGAGCTTGCCAGGCTTTACCTTGCGGGCGACATACTCTCAGTAAGCTTGTCGGGCTCTCCAAGAGAGACGGAAGAATCAAACTTGGGTCGGCCATGTTGGTCACTTGTAAGGCAAACACCCTACCACTATGCTATCGCTCCAGCCCAGAAAAATAATAAATATTATAGAGAGACTTGTTGTTACTGTGTTTGGCATATTCAATACGCCATGGGTAGCTTGCCAGGCTTTGGCGTGCAGGCGAGATACTCTCGGTAGCTAGCCAGGTTCTCTGAGATGTGTGGAGGAATCGAACCCAACTTGACCAGGCCAGCTGTGCACAAGGCAAATGCCCTACCACTGCTCTAAGTCTCACGAAGCAGACGTTACTGGGCCTGCTCGAGCAAATCTATGAACAACGGGAGGACCGTGACCGTGATATATATATATAGAGAGAGAGAGAGAAAGAGAGAGAGAATTTAAAATAAAGATACCTTAGAAAACTTAATGTCAGTGCCCAGGATCAGATTTTGAAAATCCATGCTAATGGGGCCAGAGCGCAGAGTGAGTGTACAGCCAGCAGGGCATTTGCCTTGCATGCGGCTGACCTGGATTCGATCCCCCGGCATGCTATATGGTCCCCTGAGCACCACCAGGAATGATTCCTGAGTGCAGAACCAAGAGCAATCCCTGAAAATTTCTGGTGTGATAGAAAGAAAGGAAAGGAAGGAAGGAAGGAAGGAAGGAAGGAAGGAAGGAAGGAAGAGAAAGAGAGAGAAAGAAAAAAGAAAGAAAGAAAGAAAGAAAGAAAGAAAGAAAGAAAGAGAAAGAAAGACTTATTTGTTTTTTGGCCACACCTGGCAATGCTCAGGGGTGACTCCCAGCTCTGCACTCAGCAATCACTCCTGGCGGTGCTTGGGGGTCCACAAAGGATGCTGGGGATAGACCCAGTCAGCCATGTGCAAGCCAAGCTCCCCACCGCTGTCCTATTCGTTCCAACCTTATGTATCAGCTATTTCTAAGTGTAGCTTCTCTTTATTTAACTAGCACAGATTTTTGGCCATTTATTTCCAAAGAGGAAACAGGCATAGGAAACCCTCCTGAGGCAGAGTATAAGCCTAACCTAATGACAGAAAAGGAACAACGGTCCTAAGGCAAGTTTAAGACCTCAATGGGTTGGAATTAGCATTCTGCTTCCCACATTTACTATTGTCAGAAGTATATTATTTACTGAAATTTACTATTTTAGGCAGAAGAGCAAAAACAGAAAGAAGTTTCTTTTCCTTTTTCGCCCCTGAAAGCCATTGACCACTGGTCTACCCAGTCTATCACATCTGTCTTCCTGCATCGCCCCACCCATTAGTGTGTTAATGTTCTATTTCACTCTGTGAAATTCATGTTTTTCTACCTTTAATCTCAGAAATCTCCTCCTACTGTTAACAGCGGAAATTCAATTTTTTAAATCTTTCTGACTTCATTAGGATTTTGTTAGAACCTAATGGCAGGAATAAAGTAGTGTGAGGATTTAAGCCATATGGAGCAATGGTTTTATAATATATAACAGTTAATAAAAACTTTTTGTAAGTTAAATGACAAACTAAAATTTAAGGAAGATTTTTCTAAATAGACCTATACTTAACTCACATATTAAAGTTGTCTTATTAAAATAATATTAAAAAGCTACACTTAAGAGCTACATTTAATGAATAATACAGAAGGCAGGGTGTTTGCCTGCAGCAAACCAGGATTTGATCTCTGGCACCCTATTTGATCCCCTGAGCCTGCCAGCAGTGTTCCCTGTTGCAGAGCAAAGAGTAACCCCTGAGAACCAGCGATGTCGCCTACAAACCAAAACCAAAAGAAAACAAAAAAGAGCTTCATTTAAATTTTGTATTTGTAGTATAGACATTGACATACAAGTTACTTAAAATCAAAGAAATTAATAAAACTATTCTCAGATCTTCCCCTGGTTTTAGTAACTTACTCAAACGGTAGAATTTGCCTCTTCCTTGCTATTGTTTTATTAATGAAACATGTAACCTTAAATCATTTTTTTGAAATTTATACATTATATAAAGGTAAAGGCCCTCCCGTTGATCGTCAATTTGCTTGAGCGAGCCCAGTAACATCTCCATTGGAGACTTTGTTGTTACTGTGTTTGGCATATCGAATACGTCTTCCCATTATATAAGGGCTGGAGCGATAGCACAGCAGTAGGGCATTTGCCTTGCACGCAGCCAACATGGCCGACCCGAGTTTGATTCCTCCGCCCCTCTTGGAGAGCCCGGCAAGCTACCGAGAGTATCTTGCCCGCACAGCAGAGCCTGGCAAGCTACCCGTGATGTATTCGATATGCAAACACAGTAACAACAAACTCTCCAATGGAGACGTTACTGGGCCCGCTCGAGCAAATCGTTAAACAATGGGAGGACAGTGACAGTGATACATTATAAGAAATCTCCTTATTATAAAAAACATGTCTTTCCACCCAGCTCAAATTTGTCAGAAAACTGATATCCAAGCCAAATTAAGTAAATTAAATCTGTGACTTAAGAGTTCTGGACAAAGAAGAAATCTGAATGGCAAAAAGACACAGGAGAAAATGCTCTACATCACTAATCATCAGGGAGATTCAGATCAAAACAACAATGAAATATCATCTCACACCACAGAGACTGGCCCACATCCAAAAGAGCAAAAGCAACCGGTGTTTGGCGCGGATGTGGCGAGAAAGGGACCCTCCTTCACTGCTGGTGGGAATGCCGACTGGTTCAGCCCTTTTGGAAAACAGTATGGACAATTCTCCAAAAATTAGAAATTGAACTCCCATTTGACCCAGCAATACCACTCCTGGGAATATATCCCAGAGAGGCAAAAAAGTACAGTCGAAATGACATTTGCACTTCTATGTTCATTGCTGCAAGTTCACAATAGCCAAAATTTGGAAAAAAAACCCAAGTGCTCAAGAACAGATGACTGGTTAAAGAAACTTTGGTTTCATCTACACACTGGAATACTATGCAGCTGTTAGAAAAGATTAAGTCATGAAATTTACATACAAGTGGTTCTACATGGAAAGTACCATGCTAAGTGAAATGAGCCAGAAAGAGAGGGACAGACAGAAAGACTGCACTCATCTGGGGAATACAAAGTAACAGAATGGGAGTCGAACACCCAAGAATAGTTGAGATCAGTACCAGGAGGCCTGCTCCACGGCTTGGAAGCCAGCAGCACGTGCTGGGGGAAAAGGCAGCTCAGATAGAGAAGGGAACAGCAAGTAAAGGATGCTTGGAGGACTTGCTCGGGATGCGAGATACACGCTGAAAGTAGACTATATACCGAACATGATGGCTACTCAAAACCTCTAATGCAAAGTACAACACCCTAAAGGAAAGAGAGAGCAAAAGGGAATGCCCTGTCACGGGGGGGGGGGGTGTGAGGGTGGGGGAATGGGAGGGCTACTGGGATCATTGGTGGTGGAGAATGGCCACTGGTGGAGGGATGGGTACTCGATCGTTGTACAACTGAAACCCAAGCACAAAAGTTTGTAAGTCTACAACTGTACCTCATGGTGTTTCACTAATTAAAAATAAATAAATATACATATAAAAGAAAAATGAGTTCTGGAATTTTTAAAACTACCTGTATGAAACGTGGTTTAGAAGGGTTTATTAACTAACATGAGTAAGCACATTCATCTCATCTTTTATAGCTTCCCAGTTACCAGTGTTAAGAGTCGTTTCATCAGAAGTTTGTGTGAAGGGGATATAAAATTAAGAGAAAGATTGAAATTAAAGAATATGTTTCATAGAGCTTCTAAAAACATTTTATTTGTATTTCATTTCAAATACTTATTTTCCAAATTTGTGAGACAATCTGTCTCAGGTTCAAATTTTTAAATATTATTTGGAAAACTATTTTTTAAAAATGGAATTTGAAGAACATTTCAACACACGGTGCTGAAATGTGCACAGATTTGTGAATGTTACATGAAACAGTCAAATGTATGCAACAGTGGAAATGCTTTATTTTAGAACAAACTCATTAAAATAGTTAAGAGCGACATAGTAAAATAAATAATTTTCAAAACTTCGTATTTTAAAGAAAACATAC